AGAGCGCATTCTCAACGAATTAAGCCAGGCTTTACAAAGCCGGTGACCTAAAAATGGCGGACGTACATGAAAGAAAAACCGCCTAATCTTTTAATAGTCTCTCCGCCTCTCACACGCCTCCCCACACGTCGTCCCTGCGGGGTACAGTAATTAAATCTCGGCTCCGAACATTAATATTTCCGTGAATATCTCTGGTGATATTATCTCCTTAGATAGTCGATTCATTGCTGCTCTACGGGCCAAATTATTCCTTTTTCGTCTCTGTTTTCAAAGATAATAGAACAGAAGAGCTTTTTTTTTCGATCGCCTTCAGCCGCTATGCCTTCTTCACCACGAGTTTAACTGATGAGCATGCGCACTTAATATTTCTCAGGTAGCTTCCGCATGGCGAACGGAGCCGAGATTTAATTACTGTACCCCGCAGGGACGACGTGTGGGGAGGCGGAGAGACTATTAAAAGATTAGGCGGTTTTTCTTTCATGTACGTCCGCCATTTTTAGGTCACCTGCTTTGTAAAGCCTGGCTTAATTCGTTGAGAATGCGCTCTTAAAGTAAGAAGAGCATTCTGTCTGAAGTACTTTTGTGGAGCTAGTTTCTGGCCATTCATAGGTGATACGTCAGTTCACCCTTGTAAAAAAAACCTATAGGTCTATATCTACATTGATTTGTTTATATTATAAACAGAGAAGATATAATTAACACACGTGGTTAGTCCCTGGGGTATGCAAATATTTGACTGGAATGGCAATCAGCACAGATAATTGACATTCAAAGAAAATACTTGACAAAGGTGAGAGGAAAAATCGTTTTTTAAGCATGCGTTTGAGTTTCATATTGTAAAGTGCAGCTTGGGGTGTGGGTGACCAAGAAGTTTACAACTTCTTGAGGAGAGTAGCCTATACAGTGACTCTGTACAGCTCATCCCCTAACAAAAGGGCTTGCACGCATGCACTCACACACACACATGCACACACACTGAACCCGCGTTGTACAAATATGCGTAAATAGCCTGGCCCTGATTTTATATAAGGACATTGTATGAAGTCCTGTCTATGATTGTCGTATGTTTTTCATTTCTTTTTTGTTGCTTATTTCTAAAGGATCGATATATTGTAGTGCAGGCCAATTAAAAAATACAAGGTCAACGTTATGCAGAACTTAAACAATACGAATATAGATTAATTAGCGTTTGGCTCACTTTCTTACTCAAAAATCAACAAAGGTGCTGTTTGGCTCAATTGATGTTTACTCGCCGTTTGGAAGTTAAAGCGACATTACCGAACAACACACCACGGTCTTTGTAGACGTTGAGTGGAGACATTCTTAAAGTACTGGTGGAACTGTTCAGCTGACGACGAAGTACTAGTTGATGGTACTGTATGTGGTCTATGGTGAATGTCAAAGATGAAAACTGTACTATTCAGGTTTGGTTACATGTATTGTTTACTATAGCGGATGAGTATATTACACTCTATNCATGACTAAAGAGAGTACACAACACATCGACGGTACTTTTTCTCGTACAAGCATCCGATTTGTTCGTTTGAATCCCATAGTTCGACCGTATTACAGTGAAGAGTTCTGGCGTGCTAAAAACCGAAGTGACGAAATTGGGAAATATTTCTGGGTTTGGACTGATGGAAACATTGGACGGCGGTTACTTTCATTGGAATATAATTTTGTGGAGATGTCCTTGTGGACATTTTCACCCGGCGTAGAGAAAATCAACATCGGCTTATTTGAAGCACAACAAGGATGTTGGGTTAACTTAAACGTGACAGAGCAAGTCTGCACTTTAGCAGCACTATTTCGGGATACAGTTCATGAAATGTCTGTTACACAAAATCATCTGATGGACAGCGTTATTTGTTATAATGCGTTCTATTGGGACAGAAGTGTTGTTTTTGAATCAGTGGACCTGTTTAGTAGTTACAAATGTTCAATTGTTTCTAATGACTCAAATATCCAATTTTCTTTGGAAGAAGAAAATGCTGCATCTCATTTAAAACTTTATGAAGGTATGTTAGTTGTCATCGGAATGTGTTCATTACCAATCATTCTTGCGTTTTTACTTCCAAAACAATTTAAGAATCGTTATTTTCAGAATGGGTTACATGAAATGACAAAGTTTGAACTTAACGGCCCAGAAATCTCAACGCCCCTTGGTGAATTATTCACCCTAGACCCAGA